TAATGCAGCCAATGAGAGTTTTGGTATCCTCCTTGCAACTTGCAATACAGCTTCTGTCTTAGGTATTTATCCTTGTCTTTCTCTATTCAGAGACTATGAAATCTCATGAATGCACCTGTAGTTTAGATACTGTTTGACTACACTACAGGATTTGCATATTTTAATCAGCACAGCAATCTAGATACACTCAGATCTGTGTTAAACATTAAAAAGCTTGACTGAAAGTCTGATTACCTTTGTTTTTATGTGATGATAATGTAGAGAAATAAATAATAGAATCATTAAGGCTGGGAAAAGCCAGTAAGATCATCTATTCCAACCATCACCTCATCGACACCATGACTACTGAAGCATGTCACTCAGTGCCACATCTACCCTTTTCCTGAAAACCTCCAGGGATGGTGGTGACTCAACCACCTCCCTTGACAGCCTGATCTAATAACTAATCACACTTTCAGAGAAGAAATTTTTCCTAATATGTAACCTGAACCACCCCTGGTGCAACTTGAAGCTATTACCTCTAGCTCTATTGCTAGTTACCTGGGAAAAGAGGCCAGCCCCAACCTCACTAACAACCTCTTTTCAAGTAATTGTAGAGAGCAACAAAGTCTCTCCTGAGCTCTCTCTTCTCTGGACTTAACACCCCAGTTCTCTCAGCTGCTCCTCATAAGATCTGTGCTCCAGACTCTTCACCTGCTTCACTGCCCTTCTCTGGACACACTTCAGGGCCTCAGTGTCCTTCTCGCAGTGAGGGGCCCAAAACTGAACACAGTCCTTGACGCGAAGCCTCACCAGCGGCTAATACAGAGGTACAATCACCTCCCTAATCCTGCTGACTACACTGTATCTGATACAAGCCAGGATTCCATTGGTCTTTTTGGCCACCTGAGCACACTGCACCTTCAGCAAGCTGTCAACTAACAACCCCAGAACTTTTTCCTCTATCCAGTTTGCCAGCCACTCTGTCCAAAGCCTCCAGTGATGTATGGAGTTATTTGACCAAAGTGCAGCACCCACCACTTGATCCTGTTAAAGCTCACAGAGTTGGCCTCAGCCCATCAATCCAGCCTATCCAGATCCTTCCCAAGGATCCTTCCAATCTGGCTACTCTCAAGGCAGATCAACACTTCTCTTGGCTTGGTGTTCTCTCCAGACTTACTGAGGGTTCGTTCAATCCCCTAATCAAGACCATCATTAAAGATATTTACCTTTCCCGATTCCTGAGGAACATCGCTAGCGACTGGTCACCATCTGGATTTAACTCCATTCACCACCGCTCTCTGTCCCTGTCCATCCAGACAGCTGTTTACCAAGTGAAAAGTACACCTGTCCAAGCCATGGACTGCCATCTTCCACAGAGAATACTTTGGGACACAGTCAAAGGCTTTACTACAGTCTAGGTAGATTACATTCACAGCCTTCCTGCCATCCACAACACGTGTCACCTGGTAATAAAAAGGAGATCAGGTTGGTCAAGCAGGACCTGCCTTTCATGAACTCATGCTGGCGAGGCCTGATCCTCTGGTTGTTCTGTATATGTCACATGATCGTACTCAAGGCTATCTACTGCATAACCTTTCCCAGTACTGAGGTCAGGCTGACAGGCTTATAATTCCCCAGATCCTCCTTCCAACCCTTCTTGTAGATGAGCATCACATTAGCAAGTCACTAGTTATCTGGGACCTCCCTGGCTTGCCAAGACTGTTGATAAATTATGGAAAGTGGCTTAGCAATCACTTCCATCAATTCCCTCAGGACTCTCAAGTGGATCTCATCTGGCTCCATGGCCCCGTGAAAGTCCAAGTGGAACAGCAGGTCGCTAAATGTTTCCTCTTGAATTGAGGGACGGGGGGGCCGCCCCGGTTATTCTGCTCCCTATTCCTGTCTGAATACGCTGAATACAGCTAGTCTGACTATTATGGAAGGCATTGAGAACCTCCGCCTTTTTTTCATTCTCGCTGGTAATGTTCCCCACTGCATCCAATTAAGGATGGAGATTCTTCTTGGCCCTTCTCTTGCTGGTAGTAATATATTTGTAAGAACATTTTTTTATTATCCTTAAAAAATGGTGACCAGATTAAGCTCTTCCTGGACTTCTGCCTTTCTCATTTTCCCTCTGCATACCCTAGTAACATCTCTGCACTCTTCCCAAGATGTCTGACCCTTCTTCCAAAGAAAGGAAACTCTCTCAGTTCCCTGTTCATCCTGGCTCGTCTTCTTTGCTGGCTTATCTTACGGAACAGGGGGACAGCCTGTTCCCACGCCTTTAAGATTTCCTTCTTGAGGAATGTCCAGGCTTTCTGGACCCCTCTGTACTTCAGGACTGACTCCCAAGGGTACCAGTACTAATGTAGTAAGGGTACTACAGGTACCCTTGTACCAAGGGTACCAACGTACTAAACAACTTAAAGTCTGACCTCCATCCTAATTTCACCAAGAATGGAGAACTCAAACAATGTCCCACCATTCTTTCTGTTTGTCAGACATCAGGTACTTTCTCTTACCAGCTGTGTCACCAAGTTCCTGCTCTTGTGTCAAGGAACATCCTAGACTGTTTCCTCTCTGCTGTATTCTATTTCCAGTGAATGTCAAGTAAGTTGATGTCCCCCATGAGAATAAGGACCAGCAATTGTTTGAATTCTGCCAACTGCTTACAGAACACTTCATCTGTCTCTTCATACTGGTTGCGTGCCACATCTTCCCCTGATCCTTACCCATAATGACTCAGCATTATCATTCCCAGTTCTGAGCTTTAAGACATCCAGATGCTCCCTAATACAGAGAGCAAATTCACTGCTCCTCCTTCCCTGCCTATCCATTCTAAAGAGCTTATAGCTCTCCATTGCAACACCCCTAGTCATGAGAATGATCCCACCACGTTTCAGTGGAGGTGACTAAGTCATAGTTTTACAGTCTCACAAACTCTTCTAGCTTGTCTTGTTTGTTACCCATGCTGCGTGTGTTAGGGTAGACACACTTCAGCTGGGCTCACCCCTGGTCCTGGAACACTACCCCCAATCTCAAGTTAGACTGGTTTTATCCCATACCCTTCAAATCGAGCTTAAAGCACTCTCCACGAGCCCTCGCAATTCCTGCGCTAGAATGGTTTTCTCACTTTAACACAGACAGACCCCATCAGTTGCCAGCAGGCCTGGTGCTGAATAAACTACCCCATTCTTCTTATGGCATGAGACTTTTACACTTGTGTTGATCAGGGGGGTTTCCTGTTCCTCTCGGTATCCTTCTCTATTTCCTAATGGACTGAGGAAAATAGCACCTGAGTTCCCACTCCATGAGCTAGCCATCCCAATGCTGTGAAGTCTCTCTCTACCCATCAGAAACAGGACTACCGAGACTCAAAGTGTAGCCTATAACACATCACTGAAGAAGACTGTAAAGCCTGAGGTTCCCTCTTGGAAATGGAGAGCAGCAAGTACTGGGAGATGGGATGATGGTGCCATGTTAACATGAAATAACAGGCACTTCAATACTTTGGTGTCTCCCAGAGAGAAAGACTGAATCGTGTAATAAAAATCTCAGTAAGTCCATACCTAGCTATGTCTCCTAACAACCTGAAGAAGTTTGTTACAGCATAATCATAAACAGATGAAGAAACCAATTTCTCAACCCCATCCTAGCTATAAGCTATTAATATAACTCCCACTGTGTTCTCCTCAAACTGGGACAGGCAGACTGGTAAACTGTTTCCTTTAAGAGGAACATGTGGAAAACTTTGTTTAAAAGTACAAAAATACTTTTGTTTTGTACAGGGTGACATTTAGTTTCAGCATTCACAAATCATAACAAAGCCATGCCATTGGTGACAGCAGACAAATCTTTAAAATTACTCTCTTTTTAATGAGCACCTTGTAAAACTGATGAAATTTATGACATTAAACTAGAAAGAATTCTGATTATAAATAATTTGCTCTCTAAACGAATCACTCAAAACCACAAAAAAGGACAGCAACCTCACAGAGCCCACCACATTTTGATCCATGTAGCAGCATTTTACAGAATGATGTAAGTTTCAAAGACTTTCCCCATTACTGTAAGGCTGATCTGACCTTCAGATCACTCTGAAAGGCAGAATATCTGCTGAGAAATGGCTGGTCCCTCAGTATAACTTGACACAACATTTACTACACAGCAGGAGTGAGCAGAGGAATATTCTGTAACTTACTTGTCAAATGCACATATCAGTACAAATGAAAATATTTCATTTTTTTAAATTTAAGAGACAGTCCCTTAAACATTCAGCTCTTACAACCCAGTTTAAGAGAATGAAATAATCACTAGTCAGACAGCTCTCCATCCTTTTATCTGACCAGTCTCTCATACCCTGAAATTCGTGCCGTACTTATATCCCATTATTTCCTTTAGTGAATACAGCTGAATCACTCAGTGGAATCAGTGGGAGACTGGGCAGGAAAATAAAGATGATTTCAGTTTTTGTTTGGTTTTGGTCAAGAAATCTTTCTCTACAAATAGATGTCCCACTTCTCTTCCCATTTTAAAATCAGAAAAAGACAAAGATATAGTCATTCAGAGTTGACAAACAGACAATATATGTAAAGCAGTTCAGGGGAAGTGAGGTAGCTTTAATAATCTGTATCGCATTTTTGTGATACAACAGTTTGTCTGTTGTAACTTTATGACATGTAACTAGGACTTTAGGCACCCCCAGCATCTCCTCCACAGAGGGCAATGCATCAAGATGGCAATTTATCACAACTCCAAGAAAAGTTCAATTTAAAATATTACTCCCAATTTGAAAACGTGTCTCTGCCTGCAATATTTCAGTTTTAAATATTGTGATTTTTTTAAAACTTCATTCCCAGAAACAAGCAGGGGATCCAGCAGGGATGCAGGAATGGAGTGCTACACTCCAATGCCCACCGTAGGAAGCCCCTGGGTGGCAGTGAGGCTGACGTGGATGCTCAGCAATGACAGCTGCATGGAGATGTGTGGCCAGAAGGAAAAGGGTGGCCCCGACTTACCAAGGTTCCACCTGAGACCAGTCGTGGTAACATTGTCACAGGAGCTCCCAATTGGGATGAGGCCGCACCAGGAACCTTCCAGTCCTGTGTCCACCTGCAGCTTGTGTTTGCCCTGCAACACAGAAGAGTCTGAGATCGGCTGCAGAGTGAGGGGAGACACGGGCTGGGGTTGCAGAAATCTCATTTCCAATTTTCATTCTTTTTTTTTTTCCCTGATCTGAAGATTAACATTGGTCAGAGCATTGCTGAAACTCCTGCATTTTTTTGATAACATCTTCAAAATTCCACATACTTCCCCAAAAAAATACTTTTCAGGAAGGAATACTTGTAGAAACTAACCTAGGTGAAGGAGAAATTAAGGTAAATATTTACACGAATATTCTTATACTAAGTAATAACAGTAAAGTGAAATTAAAACACATTTTTTTATACATAAAAGGTAAATTCAGCTTGTAACCACTAAGTTTAAGGCACGTATGAGAAACAGCTATTAACAACAGTGGGTATGTGACCAAGCTTTCAAGCAGCACTCACAGATCCCAGATGAGCAGCTTTCCAGATAATAGCATATGAACAATCCCAATGAGGAGTGGATAGAGAAAATCTCTCACACAGCAAAAGGAAAACTTCAGAATTCTGGCTCAGTTTTAATTATAAGAAACTTACTTGTTTATTGCAATTTGTTTATTATAATTAGCTAAAAGAATACCACAAATGAGAAAGTGACTTCTGAGGTGTTTGACAGATTTTCCTGTTAATACCAAATGCATTATGAAGAATCAAATTCAACATGTGTCATGTTCTCAGATAACAAATGAACCTCGGAAATGCTGCCCATTAGAGAGTATTGATTGCATGGCTTACACGTATTTGGTTGTGCAGGGAAGGACGATGACAGATCCAATATCATAGAATCATAGAATGGTTTGGGTTAAAAAGGACCATAATGACCATCAAGTTTCAACCTCCCTGACATGGACAGGGTTACCAACCACTAGACCAGGCTGCACAGAGCCACATCCAGCCTGGCTGTAAAAGATCATTCTTTTACATCATTGTCTCAAAGCTTACTGGGGCCACAGATGGACAAGTCCAAGCAAGTCCTGGGCAAGGGTTGAGAAACTGTTTGTCTGAGCGACACAGATGGACAAGGCCAGGGGCAATGAGAGAGACAAGCTAGAGATTAATGGCCAGGAAGCAGCCTTTTCTGTGGGCTTATCTCAAGGAAGATGGCCATCTCAGGGGTTACATCACATGCCTTACCCAAGCACCCAGGAATGCCATGCTGCCAGAAGAAGGATAAAAAGGGAACCTACAGCCATGAGGTAAGGTTTTCTGCCAACAGATTCCTCAAAAAAAGAAGAGGTTTCTGCCATGAGAAGCCTCACAACTTCCTTCCCTCCTTCCTGGACTTGCTCTGTGCTCTACCTGCATGCTGAAGAATGAAGAATGCCATCAGATTCCTCACTATGGAATTCCTGCATGCTGATGGACTCTCCTGGGTCTGCTGCCTGAGTCCTGCTGTTTCTTCCTGGATTGGCTCTATGACTTCTTCCTGCTACCTGCTTTCTGCCTAAGGCTGGCCACGCTGCTGCTGCTCTCCCTCTGCTGCTTTTGTCTCGAACCTTCGAAATGCCTTGCAATGGGATGCTGCTAGATCCTGGTGGTGACTATCCCCGCTTTACATAATTCTTGCTTCTTTCCTATCTTTTCTATCGTCCTCCTTCCCTTCCCCATCACTCTAATTCATAATAGTCGCCATCCTGCCCTTCCCCGTCTCCCTGATTAGGATTAAAATAAACAGGTCAGACCAACATTTCAACCGTTGTTTCTTAATCTCACGCTGGGTGTATACATATACTAAAGAACCTCCTCTTCCTCTTATAAATTGGAACGAGACACTTAAATGCTCCAAGGATGGGGCATCTACAACCTCCTTGGGCAACCTGTTCCAGTGCATCACCACTCTCTGAGTGAAAAACTTCCTCCTGATATCTAACCTAAACCTCTCATATCTCAATTTAAAACCATTCCCCCTTGTCCTGTATCACTATTCACCCTCATAAACAGCCATTCCCACTCCTGTTTATACGCTCACTTCAAGTACTCAAAGTACTTGAATGCTACTAGCTGTGGCCATGTGGTATTGTTTCAGCAGAGGGTACACTTGCTGGTCTTCCCTGGAAAGTTTTAGTTTTTTGAGTCACTGTCGGTCACATTTTCTAGAGATTCCAGTTGTACCAGAGCCTCTAGTTGCGTCTTCTTTGTAGTTTTTCTTAGGGTTACACTAATAGTTTCCACTTTATCAGAAGAATTTTCTATTTTATTCTTATTTTTTGGTCCATTTATGTACCAAGGATCCCATTAATCTAGGTTATAATCTTTCACAGAATCACAGAATCACAGAATCACCCGGGTTGGAAGGGACCCCAAGGATCATGTAGTTCCAACCCCCCTGCCTAGCAGGGCCACCAAACATACACATTCAGATCAGGTTGCCCAGGACCCCGTCCAACCTGGCCTTAAACACGTCCAAGGACGGGGCATCCACAACCTCCCTGGGCAGCCCGTTCCAGGGCCTAACCACTCTCCTAGTAAAGAACTTTCCCCTAACATCCAACCTAAATCTTCCCTCCTTCAACTTAAAACCATTTCCCCTAGTCCTGCTGTTATCAGCCCTTTTGAAGAGTTTACTCCCCTCCTGGGTGTAGGTTCCCTTCAGGTATTGATAGGCTGCAATGAGGTCACCCCGCAGCCTTCTCTTCTCCAGGCTGAACAAGCCCAACTCCCTCAGCCTGTCCTCATAGGGGAGGTGCTCCAGCCCCCTGATCATCTTAGTTGCCCTCCTCTGGACCCTTTCCAAAATCTCTATGTCTTTCTTGTACTGAGGGCTCCACACCTGGACACAGTACTCCAGATGGGGCCTCACAAGAGCCGAGTAGAGAGGGACAATCACCTCCCTGTCCCTGCTGGCCACCCCTCTCCTGATGGAGCCCAGGATCCCATTTGCCTTTCGAGCTGCCAGAGCGCACTGCTGGCTCATATTCAGTCTCTCGTCCATCAGGACCCCAGGTCCTTCTCTGCCGAGCTGCTCTCAAGGACCGTTCCTCCCAGCCTGTACAGGTGCCTGGGGTTCTTCTGGCCCAAATGCAAAACCTTGCACTTTGCCGTGTTGAACCTCATCAGGTTCACCCGAGCCCAGCCCTCCAGCCTGTCGAGGTCCCTCTGAATGGCATCCCTTCCTTCCACCGTATCAACCGCACCACTCAGCTTGGTGTCGTCAGCAAACTTGCTGAGGGTGCACTCAATTCCCTCATTGATGTCATTAATAAAGATGTTAAAGAGCACCGGTCCCAAGACAGACCCTTGGGGGACACCACTTGTTACCGGCCTCCACCTGGACATAGAGCCATTGACCACCACCCTCTGTCTGCGGCCTTTCAACCAATTGCTTATCCATCGGGTCGTCCACCCATCAAATCCACTTCCCTCCAATTTGGAGATGAGGATGTGGTGGGGGACCATGTCAAAGGCCTTGCTCAGGTCCAGGTAAATGACATCGGTCGCCTTCCCTTTGTCCACCAATGCCGTCACTCCATCATAGAAGGCCACAAGATTAGTTAGGCATGACCTTCCTTTGGTGAAGCCGTGCTGGCTGTCTCGGATCACATGCTCATTCTTTATGTGACCGAGCATGTTGTCCAGGAGGATCTGTTCCATGATCTTCCCAGGCACGGAGGTGAGACTCACCGGCCTGTAGTTCCCCGGGTCCTCCCTGCTCCCCTTCTTGTATATGGGAGTGACATAACCCTTCCTCCAGTCGTTCGGGACCTCACCTGACAGCCACGACTTCTCAAATATGATGGAGAGCGGCTCGGCAACCACCTCAGCCAGCTCCTTCAGGACCCTGGAGCACGCCATCCGGCCCCATAGACTTGTATTCATTCAGTCTAAGGAGGCACTCTCCTAATCTTTCAAGATTATGGATCTAAATTTCTCCATTGGTAGATTCCTACCTGTTTTTTGAGCTTATCACCCCACAAAACAAGGTAGGCTTGTGCTCAACTTGGGCAAATATCACCTCATTTTCCTCCCCTAACTTTTCTTCAGATTTGAAGGAATTCAACGGTACTAGCTGTGGCCGTGCCACAGTTGATGCATTAAGCTGCCGTTCCCTAGCAGTTGAAATATGATTTCTCAAATTTTCCAAGAAATTCAGCCATACAAGATGGCAACTTGGGAATGTCCCTGTAACTCCTAAATGGTTTCCATTTTTCTACTACCTCCACGGCAGAATGCTACAGAGATACTAGAAACCCAGGTAACTCCTTTTCAAGAGAGATCTTCTGCATCCAAACCATTGTGGAATAGAATCATAGAATGCCTTGGGTTGGAAAGGACCTCAAGGATCATCAAGTTCCAACCCCCCTGCCACAGGCTGGGCCACCAACCTCCAGATTTGGTAGTAGACCAGGTAGCCAGGGCCCCATCCAGCCTCCAGGGACGGAGCATCCACAACCTCTCTGGGCAGCCTGTTCCAGCACCTGACCACGCTCTCTGTATAGAACTTCCCCCGACATCTAATCTAAACCTTCTCTCCTTGAGCTTAAAACCGTTCCCCTTGTCCTGTCACTGTCTACCCTTGTAACAAGTTGACTCCCCTCCTGTTTATAATCCCCGTCTAAATGCTGGAAGGCTGCAATGAAGTCTCCTCCCATCCTTCTCTTCCCTTGACTGAACAAGCCCAGCTGCCTCAGCCGGCCTTTGTGGATCTCCTCTGGACCCTCTCCAGCAGCTCCACATCTTTCCTGCATTGGAGGCCCCAAGCCTGGAGACAGATGGGGCCTCGCAAAGGCAAAGTAGAGAGGGACAATCACTTCCCTGTCCCTGCTTGCCACCCCTCTTCTGATGGAGCCCAGGAATAGTCTTTACAAATGCTATTTCTGTCTTTAAGATGCTTTCCTTGGTACCCTGCCAACTACACCAAATGTTCTGCTCAGAAAGAAGCAAAATTGTTTCTGACAGGTAAAACATTCACGGGTAGGCCAATAATCACATGCAGAAGGAAGAGTTTAACTCACTCCGCTGGTGAAGGGGCTTTCTAGCTCCTTC